AGACGTTTTGACTGGACAGGTAGAGCCCGGTGTGAATTTAGCTCGGCTGGAGCGGCTAAAGAATTTTAGCTCGGCTGGAAAGGCTTAAGAGTTTAGCTCGGTCGTAAGGCTAAAGTTTTTAGCTCGGCTGATAAAACAGGCAAATCCCTATCATGCTGCGCCGATGGAATTAAGGGGCAATTGAGAAGGTAATTTATACCTAAATTGGGCTGAGCTGGGTGAATGGGCCATTCTTTGGGCCACGGTAAGAAGAGCTGGATAAAAAGGGCTTGAAGTTAGCCCGGTCTAGAGAGGCTTGTTGTTATCCTGGTCATGGCGTATTGTGGTTAGCCCGGTCTAAACCTAGCTATTTGTTAGCTCGGTCAGGACCTTGATGTTTGTTATCTCGGTCTGAACATACCATGGTTAGTACTGGAGAAACTGGGGTAAGAGCAGTGAATGGAAGAGGCGAGCTAAAGTTAGCTCGGTCTAGTCTGCGGCTTAGCATAGCCATGCTTACCTCGGTCATATTGGAATCCGACCATGGAAGACCATCTCACTTGGTTTAAGCAGTGAGGAGGGTGTTGAGGGATAAGCATTATCTTTCAGGAATATGACTCCTGGGAGGACTTTACATGGAGAAGTAAAAGTCCTACTAGGATTGTGCCACACGGAACCTACAAAAGCTCATAAACATCACCTATGGAGAGGTAACACAACTTTGATTCTCGAATACACGGAGCTTTTTGTCTATTTTGTTAATTTAGGCATCGGAGAGGTATCCGACACACACCCGCTGGCTAGCTCACGTTTGTGTTTTCAGGGAGTAAAGCGACGACGTACGGAGGAGCGCAATCTTGATCAATAGGATTATACGAGGGAATATTTTGTGCTCGTACAATAAGTATTTATTACCTCCAATTTTTTTTATACATATTCTAATATTTTAAGATTGAGGCTCAGAAATATTATTCGCTTTGATTTTCAGAAACTGTTTTTGAAAATGTTCAAAAGCTCATTTAGTTGGATTTTTTTTTTCAAAAATCTATTTTTAATAAAGAATATTTGTTTAAGGTCCTTAATATTAAGATTTTATACGATAAATAACATACCATATTTTTATAATAATTGAAATTTCTCAATATTTTCACAGAAAAATTTTAGCACAGAGAAATTTCATAGAGAAATTTGTCACAAAGAAATTTAATATTATTGAGTGACCTTAACTAATAAGAAAAAATATATTGGATCTCTCCTGCTATCAAAAGTTAGAGACGAATGTTTTACTAATTTTTCCTTTTAATAATTTGCCTTCTTTGGAGGCTAAAATTATTTTAGAACATTTAAAGTAAAATTTAATATTTATTTTTGTCAAATTAATTTATAAAAATTAAATCAAACACAACCAGATTTTTGGACATGCAGTTAGACTCGATATGTGAATCCATGTAACATAGTTATTGAATCAAATTATTAAAAAGTTTGTTCAACAATTGAACGGGGTTGGAAATCTCATGATCTGAGGGTGAACTATATTATCCTTCTTCGATATGTGGTTATAGTTCTTGGAAAATTTTAGATGTGAATGAGAATTTTTTTTGTTTTTTTTGTTTTTTTTTTTTATTGGCAAAAGGAAAAACTTTATTGATGATAAACACATACAGAGTATGAAAAATTACATTAATAAAGAGGAGCTTAGAGCTAAAGAAAGCTCCAACCTCCTAGTTAGTGAGAGACCAACAAAGAGAAACAAAAAAAAAAAAAAGAGTGTGCGCTCCAAACCAGAATGTGACCAGAATGTGTGCTCCAAACCAGCCTGAACAAGAACCCCAAAAAGAGTGAAACTCAAAAAGCAGCTTGCTAGTTTGGAGCACAGCATAGCATAGCAGCCAACACCAAGCAGCATAACAGCCAAATTGGCCATGAGCGTGCAGCCAGAAAGACCAACAACATAACCACAACAGAGCACATGATGTAGAAACTACACAATAGAGCATGCATAAATTACACATAATGCAGAAACTTCACAAACCGAAACAATTAAGCCTTCCCAATAAACTCCCCTTAATCCATTTGCATTCCAGATGATCACATAAATAGAACGAATGCCAATTCTGATCATATCAACCAATCAGCAAAGCTACATCAACCAGCAAAGCTCAAACAACATATCAGTTTAACCACCAACTAGCACACAACCAGCATATCTATTTAAGCTTAACCTTCTGATCATATTCTAGAGTTAACCACGAAGCACACAACCAGCATAACTATTCAAAATCATTTTCCTCACTCCTGCATTCTATTCAAAAAGCACCGTAAGGCATACAGAACAACAAGACCCAGCTTTACAGATCGACCACACTCCTATAGCAATTCAGAACAATGGCAGGTAGCAAATAATCAATGACAACCCCTTATTTGCCTCCAATTCAGAACAATATCATTAATAGAGTAGGGGAAGTCCTTGAGGGAGGTTTTAAGCCAAAATGCTAATCTAACTTTGATGAGATCCCACAGGTCAGCTGAGTTAGAAGGGACATTAGGGAAAACGCACTCATTCCTATGTTTCCAAAGAGATCAGAAGACAACTAAGGGAGTGGCTCTCCAAAATTTCCGGAGAAAAGACTTAAAATTCACCCCCATCCACCAGGAGAACAAACCTGACACAGATAAAAGAATGCACCATTGAAGAACCCAATTCTGAAGCACAAAGGACCAAATAGCCCATGAGAAAGAGCAGTGAAGCAAAATATGCTAAGTAGATTCTGGAGCAGAATTACAGAAGATGCAAGAGATGAAAATGTTGTTGCCTAGGATGCCAAGGTTGTGCAAGAATTCAGAAGTTTTAATTATGTTTTTCCATGCCAACCAACCAAAAAATAGGACTTTGGGGGGGGCAAGATGTGATTCCAAATAAACTTGCTTAAGCTGAATGGAGGCCCAAGAAGAGATGTACTAAAAGAGTATAAGGAAGACACAGTGAACATACCAGAACCAGCAGCTGCAGTAGCCTAAACCATACTATCAACACACTCAAGTCTTAGAGAAGGAGTAGAGGATAACAAATCAAGCAGTTTAATTTCATCCACCAACTCCCAAGCATATAATGCTCTTCTATATATTCCAACCATTGGAGCTAGATTTCATTGCACAAAAAAAGTGAAGGGAACTAGACTTGGCAGAAGAGAGAGTGAAAAGAGTAGGGAACTCATCCTTGACAGAAGTGGCACCTCACCACTTATCATGCCAGAATTTGATTCTGCAGCCATCTCCCACCTTAATTAAGAAATTATCCAAGAAGTACTTGAAAATGATTCTACTCTGAACCCCTATGAACATGATATCCTTCCACACACAAGAATGTTTATAGGAAGGTTTCACTGGAGCAAGCCAGTAGTCGACCTCTACCTTATATTTACTCATATAACTTGCCTCCAAAGTGCATTAGTTTGAGTACCAAATTTCCACCACCATTTGAGGAGCAGACAAGAATTGACATCCCTAATCCTCCTGATGGCTAAACCCCCTTGAGGAACACTTTTTGTTACTTCTAGCCATTTGACCAAATAGATTTTCTTTTTTAATTCAGTACCACCCCACAAGAATGCAACCTCTAGTTTCTCAACGTCCTGAGCCACACCTTCAGGCATCCTAAAGAGAGAGAGATAGTACACAGGTAAGCTAGAAAGAACAAACTTAATCAGAGTTAATCTGCCAATAAAAGACAACATTTTTCTCGCCTATCGTAAAAGTCTTACTCTGACAGAATCAAGTACAGGTTTCCAAGTTGATTTCCTACCAGGGTTGGCACCTAAAGGCAGCCCCAAAAATTTCAAAGGTAAGTCGAGTACCTTGCAATTCAAGAGGTGTGCAGAAGAGTGTAGTGACTCATCCACCACACCAATTCCACAAACGACACTTTTGTGATAATTGATCTTAAGACCAGATAGAACTTCAAAGCACCTGAGAATTCTTTTGATAATAACCACCTAATCCAAATCTGCTTCACAGAAGAGGATAGAGTCGTCAACAAATTGGAGATGGGATATGAGGACCTTATTAGCTCCAACCAATACACCTTTAAAAATACCAAGATTAATTGCTCTGGTAAGAAGAATATTGAGCCCTTCAGCCACAATATTGAATAGGAAATGTGATAATGGGTCACATTGCCTAAGGCCTCTTTGCGGAGAGAACTCACTAGTTGGTGATCCATTCACTAAAATGGAGATCCGAGCTATAGATACACAGGCTTTCATGCAAGAGATCCACTTAGACCCAAACCCAAAGCTGGACATCATGGAGAATAAGAATTTACAGTTTACAGAATCAAAGGCTTTCTCAAAGCCCAACTTGATAATTAGCCCTTGCCATTTGGACTTCTTCAAATCATCAACTAGTTCATTGGCAATAAAAACCCCATCAATGACATTCCTACCTCCTATAAAAGTTGTTTGAGTCTCACCAATAATTAAAGGCATCACTGGCTTCATCCTATGCACAAGAACTTTTGCCAAAATTTTGTAAAGAGAACCAACCAGGCTAATGGGTCTATAATCAGTCAAATTGATGGGATTGACAAGCTTGGGAATAAGGGTAATGAAGGAGTTGTTGATACCATAGGTGAGCTTGTTGTTTCTGTGGAAATCTCTAAAAAATTGCAGGATCTCATGCTTCATAATTTTACAAAATTTTTGGTAGCACAACAAGTTGAATCCATTTGGGCCCGGAGCTTTGTTACCACTACTCTCTTTGATGGCTGCCAAAACCTATGCTTCCGTGAAGTCAGGTACCAACTGGAGAGATACAGGGCTACCCTCAATTGTTTAGAAGTCCCCAACCAACACAGGCCTACTCACCTAACTTTCCATGAATTGATTACTGAAGTGACGGAGCACCTCTTGCTTGACTCTGCTAGGATCCTCACAAGACACACCATTAACTGAAATGGAGTTAATCATATTTCTACTTTGTTTAGTACTTGTAATAACATGAAAATATCTAGTGTTTTTATCCCCCTACAATGACCAATTCAATCTGGATTTCTGATGCCATAACCATTCCACCATTCTATAGAGTTTCCACACTTCACCTTTAACCTCCCTTTTCCAACCTTTTTCTACGACAAGTAGCTCTCTGGCCTCCGCAGTGATATCTAGTGCATGCAATTCATCTTCTGCAGCCTTGAGCTTAGATGAGACATTGCCAAACACATCTGAATTCCATATCTTCAGTTCCAGCTTTAGGTGCTTAAGTTTTTGATGGATTATGTAACTAACCCAACCCACAAAATTAGAATTCTTCTAACAAGTAGTAAAGAAATTAGAGAAATTGGGATGCAAAGTCCAAGCATTGATAAATCAGAAAGGTTTGGGGCCCCAATCTCTATCATCTTCCATCAATAATAAATGACAGTGATCTGATATGAGCCGAGGCGAACCCCAAAGCATCATGTTGAAGTGAATCAACTATTTAGGGCTAAGCAAGACCCTATCAATTCTACTCCATTTCTGTGCCTCCTGAGCATTACACCAAGTATATTTTCTACCATAGAGAGGAAGGTCATTCAGTTCACAAGCATCTATAAACTCATTAAGTTGTTTCATACCCTTGTCTCTCCAGGAACAACCAACTCTATCTGCCATATGCCTTATCTCATTGAAATCCCCTCCCAAGCACCACGGGAAAGGAAAAGAAACCTTGAGGTTGAGAAGAGCATTCCAAAACGAGGAACTGTTGCTAACCTCATTAAGAGCGTAAATATTAAGCAGAACACAATGAAAAGAGTTGTACAATGTACCTGAGAGTAAAATAAACCTCCTGTTGCAGCAGCTACCAGATAATTGGAAAACACCTGGATCCCAGATGCACAGGAGCCCACCTGCTGAGCCTTCAAGGTCCACAGACAAGAACTCCATATTTCTATTACCCCATAGCCTCCTAGCCACAAAGTCCGACACTACTACCTTTTTTGTTTCTTGAAAGAATGCCGCATCAATGTGCCTATCTTTTAGGAGCTTTTTAATTCTACCCCTCTTCTCAGGCTTGCCAATACCTCTAACACTCCAGGATATAAGCTTCACAAAGAGACAAATACGCACATTGTACATCCCCCAGCTACTGCATTTACATCTTAGCCTTACCCTCCTTGATAATTCTTTCTTTGTCCTTGAGCTCCAGATCATTGATCTTATCTATCACTACATCTTCTTTCCCTTGGAAGTTTATTCCAAGTTTTTGCCCCAACTGAACAGTAGCTATAGCTTCTTTGAGGAGATAACTATGTGGGCTTGAATAACCCTCAGAGAGATCAGATTGTGCAAGGGCAGTTACTGTTGGTCTAAAGATAACAGATTTGGAGCTATGTTTGCTGATAGCTGAAACTTTGTGACCATAAAGTCAAGCAAAACGGGAGAAGCCCTCCATCTGTGCCTTTTTTTTTCCCCTAGTTTCGTAGTGTTCCGCAAAAGAGTGAGGGAGATAGTAGGTGTTTTGACTTGGCCTTGATCGTACATGCTCAGAATTTTCGACCCACTGGTAGCTATACATGTATGAGGCCTAGGGGAATTGAAAAGCAGCAGACCATTTGAAGTGGGCCTAATGTTCTGAGCTTTATATGGGCCTTGAGCAAACTGCTCACCTAGTGGGTGGGCCAAGTCCACCTCAAGAGAAATGCCAAGGCCAAGTCCCTCCCTTAGTCCACTAAGACTTTTGAAAAATCTAGTTGTGGAAACTTGCTCCATACACTTCTTAGACTTATCATTGCACTTAGGAAAGGTGTAGACGTCCCTGAACACCTGAGGAGGAATGAACCCCCGTTCAGTTCGTTTTGTGGGTCTACTACAGTTCAGACTCAATTTGTGTCACGGTTCTTAATCTGAACCAAAGAGTCCAAATCCGGCAAATCGTCTTGAGAAAACAGATTTTTGAAAGAAATGCCAAACATGGACTGCTTTGCCAGATACAGAGTCGCCACCTAAATATTTTATTTTGGGGAATTTAGGAAACCCTGACTCGGTGCCAAAGGCCACGTGTCCGTCATCACCAAATTTGCCTCGGCTCGGGAACTTGGGTACGATTGGGGAAGGTCACTTCGTGAGCACCCCCGCTCGCCCGATCAAAGATCGGCCTCTACTAACCATGATATCTATTTTTGAAAACATTATGCGTTCTTATTCCATTTATTAGCCTAGAATTACTATGTTATGCGCGCGGCAAACAAGTATAGACCAAATCGCCTAAATTGGAGCAAAACATTGCATGTTCGTTTTGAAGATGGTTTGCTACTCGCAAGTAGGCTAAAATGCAGGTTTTTCCACCCTCGAGTGGGCTTTTAGAAAAGATGGTTTTGTCACTATCTAGTGGGCTTAAAAAATTCATAGTTTTAATGCATTATTCCAATTTAGGTAATTCAACCTCCATCCACAGGCATTTGAGCAGTTGTATCACATAAGTAGCTAGCCTCATGGTAATCATGCTGTTATGGCAACACTCACACGCATGCGGTATGCTAAAGCATAAATGCTCACCGAGTACTCCGAGCCAAAATAAAAACTAGTTAGTAATCATATGCATGATCCTAGTTCATGTTAAGATGGCTAATGCAACACATGCAAAATGCAACCAAGATAGGCTCAGCTAATCTACAATGACATGTGAAATGCTACAACTAACACGTATTCAATTTGGAATTGAAATACAAATGCAGTTAGAATGATACGCCGAGCCCGGTGCATGCAAGACAAATGTATGAATGCACGCATGCATAGCATAAGGTATGCTAATTTAAATATGCCCTAGTCTACCATCATAAGCGGGTAAATAAAAAGGAAGAAAGACGTGGGGTTGGAAGACATACACACACTCACGCACACTTATTACACAATTGCCCTCGCTCGGAGGGTCCAAATAAATATTACAGTCCGATTACTAAATTAATTATTACAGAATTTCTAATTAATTAACAAATTAAACGCAGGATTAAAATGGCCACAGCCCCGCCTTGGGATGCGTGGATGATGCATGTTTGACTCGTCTCGCCTGGAAATTTGCTGCCATAGCACTGTTGCCTCTGTTGACACTGCCCTGCCCCTCTGAAATTTATGAAAGACTCCTGAACTGTTCTGAACTTCATTCTGAGTGCAGTGGAGTTCCACCGGCCAAATCAAAAGGCCACCGGCCATGGGAATGAGGTTATCGGCTAAAGATTTTGCTCTCGGCCAAAATTCTTTGCCGGTCGGCACTCATCATTGCCGGCCGGCCAAATCTTCTTGTTGAAACTTGCAGTTGACAGCAGCAGAGGGCAAGCAGTGTATGGCATGGAATTCTCGAGCAAATGTGAGCATGGACACACTCCCTATCATGCAAGGGACTCAAGGGAGCATGACCCTCGACCTTCGGGCCATCAATTGTGCATTTTTTATGCATGATGGCCTAAGAGGCCAAGTTAGCAACTTTGATGTAAATGCATGCAAACAAAAAAAGATGAATGCCAACACCCTGTCATGTTGAGGTCAAGGGGATTGACGATCGAGGGTTGAGACGTGTTACATCACTTGGTGTATGAACACTTCTCAATCCTCATACTTGGCTTGACACCCCAAACCAAGCCAAATGTAATGCATGGATGCAATATACAATGCAAAGTGATGCAACTCATGCAAGATAACATGAACATGCTAAGCTAATGCAACATGACACTATCTAATCCTGCATGCTAGACTAATGCAATATGGACATATCAAGCATACAACAAGACTATGTAATGCCATTAACTAAACAACATGCAAACATGCGAAAATGATACAATGTAAGCATGCAACCAATGCAATACAACATGCAAGCATGCAAAATATGCAAAGACGGACTTATACTGAAATGAGAGGACCTCAGCCCACCCCCAAAACAGCGGCCTAAGAGGATACACAAGAGCACAAATGATACATGCAAGCATGCACACATCAAGGTCCATCACCTAAGCATAAGAGGGGACAACTCTAAGCATACTTAAAGTCGATATATATGGGCATTAAACCAACATGCTAAGCTCTGAAAATGAATAGAGAATGATGCCAAATCAAACAAAACATGCAAGCAAGACATGCAACAATGACCAACACTTGAAGCCAATAAAGGGGGTCAAACCAAAGCTATGTCAACCAAACCTTAAAGGACCAAAATGACCTAAAACAGTCCCAATGGACCCCAAAACAAGACTAAAGCATACATAGATCATGGTCAAAACACGCCAAGGAAAGAGTCCAAAACATGGGCATTCAAGGCCAAAAATGGGAGCATTGCTCAACACCTCCCCCAAGCAAACACGACATGAATTTTTCAATACAAAATGAAGTTTTAGCATGCAAAAAGGGCCCTCAAAACCCACTGATATGGCAGCCTAATGTCTAAACACATAGGCATGCACAATGACCATTTTCCAAGGCACAAAAGAACAACCTTTCAAGGCAAGAAAGTGATGATGAATGTGGGCATACAAGCATGGATTAGGGACTGAAATGGCATATGAAATTACTCCAAATCATTGAAACAACCCAACTAAAGCATGCTAGTGACTCACACACTCAAGGCTCACAAGCCAAAATACAAATGGGCTATACCAAACATGGCAAATACAACCAAACCAGCACCCAACAGACCTCAATCATGATAAATCATGACCAAAAGCTTCACAAAGCTAGGCAAGAATATGCAAGCACGATGGTCTAATGGCTAGATGCATTTCTAGGCAAAATGGGGAAATACAAAGCAAGTGTATTAAGCATGTAAGGGACCACAAATCTGACCAAAAACAAAGGTAAGATATGCCCAAATAACACCCAAAAACCTCTGAAATAGGGCCAAATACAACCAAGCATACATGCTACCCTTATGAGCCAAAACATGAACAAAATGAGAGACCAAGGGAGAGGGGTGTCCCTCCCGTATGCAAGACCTCAGAACCCCTTCCTCACAACTGAAATTCCATTGGATTTCAGTGGTGAGAAGGCCAACACACTAAGGTAAACGAACCTTACCGAAAGAGCACAAAAAGAGGCCAAAAGAGGCCTAAGAGGGGGAGGTCGACCCCAAACACCAAAACAACCTTAATGAAGAATCTTAAGCATGAAAATACAAGACTTTTTTCATTTATACACAAAGCTTAAATCAACATGCAAGATAGGTCAAAAGCCAATGCAAGATTGGGGAAACTAAAGTAAAGTAGTTACCCTTGAAGAACTCTTGATGAACAGCAAATGCAGCCCTCTTCTTTTGATCAAAATCAGCCCAAAAGCTCAAGAACAAACCCTCCAAGCCCCTCAAGGTCAGAGTAAGGTGTGATGGTGTGTGTGTTAGTGCAAAACTAAGGTAAAAATACACTTTTAGGCCACAAAACACACACAAGGGAGGAGAGAGAGGGAAATATAAAGAGAGAGGATATATATATATCAGAATATATGTATAAGCTCTGTCTTTTTTGTTTTTCTGCTAACCTTTAACAATGGAGGAGGAGAGGTCCTTATATAGGAAAAAGAAATGGTTCTAAGCTTCTCAAATAAGCTAAGTAAAAGGGGGCAAAGGGGGCAAGGAGGTCAAGGCTTCTTGAGGAAGCTAAGACAGCTGGCCAAGCTTCTTGAGGAAACTTTGACAAAGGGTCAAGCTTCCTCAAGAAGCTTTGACCAAAAGGGGGCAAAAGGGGCAAAACAGCCACATGTAAGCCCCGGGGTAGGTTTGGTGTATTCCAGCTGGCACAGCTGGCATGCACCATGCCTGAAGAAGGCAAAAAGGTGTTATCGGCCAAAAAAGGAGGTTGTCGGCCAAACAGATAGCCGACCGGCCATATAGAGTGTCGACCGGCCATTGGTATTAAGAAACCATGGCCGGTGTCAGCAATTAATGGCCGGTGATACAAAGGGAAGGCCGATGGGGTGTGAGGATGGCCAACAAGCCATTCCCTGCCTCTCAAAGCAAAAGCACAAGTATTTGGTGCAAAACCAAACGCAAGGCGAACAAGTTGAGAGATCTTGAGGCAAGGCGCGCAACCAAGGCCTCCGGGAACTCAAAACGAACACGAACATGGATGATCACCGAGTGTCCCCACCGGTGACGTCCA